GGAAGAGCATCTCCCTTTGGCAGGGAGGAAGGCATGTCTACCTTAGTACTTTAGTCACGCTTGGTTAATTATGGTGTAAACATTAATGTTTCTGAATCTCATGCTTTCTTTTGGTGCAGGTATTGGAAGGTGACGGATCTACGATTTTCTCTTTCTCAAGATCGCCATATCGCTCAACTCATCTCTGTGCTCTCAATTTCTCGCTCAATTCGTATATGCTGTCACGCTTTTCCTTACTCATATCTCCGCTCTTACTCTCTCATATGACAATGCTAACCTCTGAAACCACAAACCAACCGAAGTCCCAACTCTCCTCCCTCTGCAACATTTGATCTCAAATCAGTCCAAATTATCAGTTTTTTTCAATTTTTTATGTTGCTATGTTTAGGTTTCAGACACAGTAAGTAAATTGCTTTCTCCGACTCCTAATTCTCCTTCAGGTAAAACCTAAAACACATTTATTTTGTCTTATTGATCTGCATAGATTTTCTGGTGTATGTTGTTGTCCTAAATTCACTTCTCAAAACCCACGCTTTGAATTTATGGATGAAATTTTAGTAAAATACTGTGATGTCTTTTGTGTTTGGTATCACTGATTAAAAGTAGTTGCTTGCTTACTTCGTTGTAACTTTCTAGCTTTGTTTTCATTGGTTGTGATAAGAATTCATTTAAAGTTCGATTTTCTGATATTTCACATATGTGCTTAATTGTTGTGAGCTCAGAATTTGTGTCATCGTAAGCTGCATAATTTTATGCCACTGATTTAATCCCAGCTCCTTGCTTGTTTTTGTGTTCTGTCTTGTGGTCTAAGGTCACATGGATATTAGTCATGTTCTCTATTACTACTTTAATTCTATATACTGCATAATTGTATATACTACTTTAATTATATCGCACAAGTTCTGATTTAATCGTGTCCCCTGGAGTTCCCCTACAAAACTATGGTCTTTCCTCTTTGTTGCAGTTGGTGAGTAGTAGTGTTTATAAGTTATATGGTCGTTGTTACTGCATTTAAATCTTTTGAGAATAAAATTTTTTATTTGTTTTATATGGTGTAAAATTCTTTTGTCATACTTGTATTGGTTGTGTATTGGTGTTGTAATCCATTTTCATGAATTATTGCAAAGGCATTGGAAATGATTCTTAGAGATATAAGCAGCCTCATTTAGTTGTGGTCCTTGTCAAAATGCAGGGAAAGCAGGTGATGTCTGAGTTGGATTTTGCTGCCGAAATTCTCCCAAAAAATATCAAGATTTTAGCAGTGACAGGGACTAATGGAAAATCAACTGTTGTCACTTTTGCTGGACAGGTTACACATCTTTTTTTTAATGCTTATTCATGGTAATTTTAGTAGTAAATGTCTCATATTGTTGCTGATGGCAACATAATCTGAACCAAATTGCTGTTCAAATGAATTCCTTAATCGAAGCCTAAATGAAAAATGACCAATGAGAAAAATGAAGTGCTGACGTTTTGTGAAATTCACTACATCAACCAAAATATGTTCCCCCAATACCCAAATTCCAAAAAATGGATGAATAATTAAACCTGAAAAAATGCATGTATAATTTATAAAATTTAAAATAAAGCTGTCTTTAGAATTGCTTCCAACTTGTATTGCTTTCAATTGACATAATTTCCTTGTCTGTTGCCTATAGAAGCTGCGTATCCAATATAAAGACAGCTTTATTTTAATCTATTTTCTTAAATCATGAATTTATCCGGTTGTAAAATGGAGTTCCACATTCTATCAATTAATATTCTTTTACTCATTTGAAGGTAGATGCTTAGCCATTTTGGCATCGAGACATTTGTGGGGGGTAACCTTGGGATTCATATTGGAGTTTGAAGTTTCAATCTTGGGCTGTGATTTTTGCAGATTTTGGTTTTTCAATTTCTATTTGGAGAGCATATGCAGATAAGGTGAGTATATTTCGTATTACTTTTGGACTATTTGCTCATTCATCAGTTTTTAATTGAGTTTAGGTTTCAATCTTCAGTTTGATTTATATTTAGATGCACTTACAGACAAGGATTTTAGATTAGTTTTTGACTAGTTGATGTAGTTTAATTTTCGGTTTGGCTATTAGGCTCTCTAATCATCAATTTTAAGTTATTCTTTGTTTTCCTCTTCTTTCTATGATTTTTTTTGTTTGTGCTAACAAAGAGAAAGAGAAATAGAGAAAATGATAGCTGAGATTTTAACAATTTAGTTTCAATCTCTCTGACTAAATTATTACAAGTAGCCATAGAATTTATACTCGGAGTGTGAGATTAACCAACTAAGCATGTGCCAATGCTTACTAACTGCGACTTGTAAGAGTCTGAGCTCTACTAAGCTAATTTTGGTTTACGGTTTAGGTCATTGACAAGAAATTGAATCGCTTCTTGTTTGGTGCTTCTGCTTCTCTGATATAATGATAGTGTATATTTTGTATTAAACTAGTTTAAGGAAGGGTTCTTTCCTCTTCTTTTGGTGGATTGTTTTACAACCCAATAAATTTTACAGGGATATAAATATATATGTTTGCCTTTGTCCTTGGGATCTACACTCTTGCAGTTTCAGAGGCTTTATCAGAAAATTGCTGGTAACGCGTAATGCTTTTGCTGTTTTGCTTGTTTTACAAATTTCCAATAAATTTACTGTTGTGCTTGTTATACAAATTTCCAATAAATTGGGTAGTGGCCACTCGTTTTTTATCTTTAGTTTTGTTTTAAATTTAGTGCATGAATAATGAATCTTCCTCTTAAATTTGGGAATACAAGAAAGTATAGAGTAATAAGGGAGTTTTTGTATTTCAATGGGGTTGACCAAACCTACAAGAATTGGATATGGCATGGGCAATCTATTGAATCAAATGGAAGTGAAAGTGTAAATCAAGAACCACATCTTGAACACGACGTAGTCGGTGAAACAATTGATATGTGCTATTAATCTTGTGTTTCAATTTAGTAACTATGAATAATGGTTGGCAGCTATTTTGTTTCACTTGGTAAAAGGCCAACAAAGGGATCAAATGATTGGATTTTGTGTAGTATAAAATCCTATATTTGCAAATTACCAGTTGTTTAGAGAATGAGCAATGTGACTTTTTTTTTGGTAGTTGGGTCTGTGTTAATTAAGAAGAAATGCTAGCTGTGCTTGTCTAGCTCTCTACCCCATCACATGATCATTTAATTGCTAGTTGAAACATGAAGTGGGATCCCTTTAATGACTTCTTGTTATCTAATTAGATTGATTGACAAATTAGATTTTCTTGTTCACCAATATGATTTGGTAAATTTGTATATTGGTTAATTTGAAATGACAACATATCTTATGCAAATTTAGTACCTTGCACTTTTTAAGCTTATGTTCATATTACACATTGTTTGTGTTTACATTCTACTTTTTTTTTTTTTCTTCCAGTATATAGATAGACAGAAGGACACGTACACCTAAATGGAATTGGATGAGGTGCAAGAAGAATTGGCAACGTTAACTCATGTCTTAGAATGGCTTTTTGATTGAGCTAAACATTCCTTCATTTTACATGTCTTTCTAGCTAGTATTTTGCTAATATATAGACAAGTATGGATAGTTTGACGTGTAGGGCTGCAAAAATTGTGATTTGGATGTGACAAGTATGGATCATTCAAGTATTTTGCTTATATATATATATATAATGTTTATATAATGTTTTTTTTATGAGCAATGGCAACACAACATGATTTGGAAATGAGGCCTTTCTTAAATACTAACACAGTAACTAAGTAAAGTGTGATGTGAAACAAGCAAAATACTTACCATTTCCTTACATAAGTGATGCCTATTGTTTATAACAACTTCAGTTTTCCAGAAATAACTTCTTTGAAAAGATAAAAACAACTTCTTTGAAAAGATAAAAACAACCAGACATCTATTATCATTGATGCCTAAAGCGAGAAGTAGCATCAACATTTATGTAACCACCAGCATTGTTGGAGGCTTTTCACGTCTGCAAAATAAAAAAAGCGATATGTATAACATAATTCACAACACTGTTATTTGTTTCTACGATGTTGTAATTGACAATACGCATCAGCATAGTAGATGTCACTGATGCTGTTAGACCTCTTTAGCCTCATCCCTTTTGAAACTATTGATGCTGTTTCGTGTTTAGGCGTTTTGGCACCCGAAAATCATTTACGCATCGGAGTTTACCAAATATTCGATGTAGTAAGTAACAAACAGCGACAAAGAATATCCATTGCCTATTACATGGTAATAGGCAACAGGCTTGAATACCACGCTATTTATGTGTAATAGGCAACGGATTTTACCCGTTGCAAAAGCCTTTTTTTGGCATAGTGCATTGGGACATGCATGAATTTTTTCATAACTTATCCCTAAAGCAGACAATGTCTTTTTTGCCTTGTACATAGAGGAAGTAGTGTATTTCCTTCCGGAAGTAAATCTCCTTGAAGTATCAATAATTCTGTAAAACAAACATCACTCATCCCATGTTTTGCTTTCAAATTATATAACTTCACTAAAGCCGACAACATCGTGTACTTATTGTCAAAGGAAATAACTACATGATTAATGCCAACAGATTGACAGCCGATTATACAGATTTACAGATTTAAATACCAGCAGATTCTTTCCTTAATTAGGATATACTAGCTGTAGGCTATAATTAGATAAATGTATATATGGTAGGTTAGCTGATTTTAGGGGCTGAAGATCAGCCTGTGTTCTTTCCTAATTAACTTGTATTCTGTCCATATAATGAGTAATTCTTCATGAATAGATATGCACTTTTTCATAAAGACTCTAAATTGTCATGGTATCAGAGCTATTCCTCTGAATTATCTCTCGCTCCCAAGTTCCTTAGTCTCAGTTATTCTTGATCAAGTTCTCTTGACATCATGTCTTCGGATAAGTCTGAGGTTTCTCTGATTCGTTTCAATGGCAAGAACTACTCTGCTTGGGCGTTTCACTTCGGAATTTTCGTCAAAGGTAAGGAAGAGTGGGGACATGTTGATGGAAGTAACCCAGCTCCTGACAAAAACAAAGACAAAGACCAGCACGCCAAGTGGGAAGTCAAGGGTGCTCAAGTTATGACATGGATTTTAGGATCTGTTGAACCTAATATCATCTTGAACCTTTGATCATCTCAGACTGCAGCTCAGATGTGGACTTACATGAAGAAGATCTATAATCAACAAAACACTGCTCGTCAGTTCCAGCTTGAACATGAATTGGCCGCTTTCCAACAGGATAGCCTTTCTATCTCTGATTTTTACTCTAGATTCACTAATCTTTGGGCTGAATACACTGATATAGTTTATGCTGACTTACCATCCGAAGGTCTTAGTTCTGTTCAATCTATCCATGAAACTACCCAGAGGGATCAATTTCTGATGAAATTGAGACCTGAATTTGAAGGCACCAGATCCAATCTTATGAACCGGGAATCTGTCCCCTCCTTGGATACATGCCTCAATGATCTCCTTCGCGAGGAACAACGCCTTCTCACTCAAACCACCATGGAACAACGGCAATCTGCATCTGTTCCTGTGGCCTATGCAGCATAAGGTAAGCGACGAGGCAGGGATATGAGCACTGTTCAGTGTTTTTGTTGCAAGGGATTTGGTCATTATGCTGCAAATTGTCCCCGAAAATTCTGCAACTACTGCAAAAAGGATGGCCATATCATCAAGGAATGTCCTACTCGACCCCCCAAGAAATCAGAGACCGCATATACTGTCTCCGTTGGCTCTTCTAGTGCTGGAAGTTCTGTGACTACAGTACCGCTGACACAAAGTGCTCATGCTCCTGTTCAACCTGTGACCCCTGACATGATTCAACAAATGATCATTTCTGCATTTTCAGCTTTAGGACTCTCAGGTAAACCCTTCTCTACATCATCTCCTTGGTACTTTGATTCCGGGGCTTCCCATCATATGACAAACAATGCTGATTCTCTTACCAATGTAAACAAATATTTTGGAAATCTCAAAATTCATACTGCTGATGGCAATCATTTACCTATCACGGCCACTGGTGATGTTTCTCCCTCTCTCACTAATGTCTTTGTATCTCCTGGTCTTACCACCAATCTTGTGTCTGTCGGTCAGTTGGTTGATAATGATTGCAAAGTGGAATTCTCTAAATCTGGTTGTGTTGTGCAGGATCAACAGTCAGGGAGGATGATC